AGAAAAGTATTTAATAAAATTAGAAATCTATAATAAAGAAAAGAAAAAAAAAACCAAAATAACAAGGTGAAGCTTCATGCATACTCATGCACAAATTGATGGAATAGCTAAATCTTTTTTTTGCTTTTGAAAGGGTGCTACTTTTTTAAATAATATAGATATTCATAGCACGAGCTAAATTATACCATATGTATAAAAAAATTAACCAAACAAGAACAAATTACAAAAATTAGAAAATTTAAAGTGAAGGAAAATAAAAGCCAAAATAACAAAGGGAAATTAAATGCATACTCTCAAATCCTGATTATTTACAAAAGTAACACCTTAGCTCCATTCTTCAAACAAATTCACAATGACTTGATTGTTGCATGCACAAATTAATGGATTTACTAGAATTTTTTTTTTAATGGTGCTAAACCATTAATTTGTCTCCCAGATAACAATTCAAAGCTCGCATTGTCACAAAGAGATGGCTTTTTCCCAGAATTATAAAAATAAGGTAATAATTGAATCCTGTCAGGAATATGTTTCATCCTGATAAAGACAAGGCAGAATTATTTTTATATGGCTACAATATCTTATGTATAATGACAAGAATTCCTTTTAATTTGTAATAGATAGAGTCAATATCCGCTCATGAAGGCATGAAAACCGCAGCCTTCCCTCAACAAAACAATCCAAAAGTTGCAAATTACAAAGACTTGCACAAGGAAGTCGTTAGAACAGTGAAAAACCCATAATTAGGAATCACAGATAGAATTGCACCTGCGTCCTGTGCTATCCTGCATGTGCAAGACCTAAGATATTTAAGTTATGATAGATAGATGCCGCGCAGTGCTAAGAAACCAGTGAGATGTATAAATAGTGTCGGAGATGTAGACACCCGGTAATTAATTATGATATAAGAAAACCATCTAACAGAAGACACATGAAAAAGGTACTTGAACGACCGCTGAGAAGGAATCACATTAGTTCCACTGAAAACCCTAACAAATGAATTCTGATCACATTGCATCTTTAATAGCTTTACTATTAACCCAGCAGTTAAAATCATTGATCAAAAAATTATAATGAAATCTTAAACTATGAAATGAAGACAGAATTCAGATGTCTTAGGTTCTAAGGTTTTCAAATTCAGACTACACTAAAATACACAAAATCACGTACTTTTGAAATCCAGTTTGCAAGCCAATAACTTAGATGACTTCTCATTCCTCTAAATAAAAATCAAAACGCAAAAAATTCAAACAAAAATGTTGATTCAATAGTCATCTGATAGAAAAAAAACATACAATTTTAGATACATGAAAAAACATATGTTCAATTGAAAATCATGAAGTAGTTGAAAACCACATTATGCTAAAAGTTGATTCGATTCAATCGCATAATTGAATCAAGTACTTGAAATCAGGCAGTTCGAGTAAGAAAGAGAAAAAATCATAAAAATGAATAATCAGGTATCGCATTGCTGCAATGAGATAACTTACGCTGAAAATCTGCAATCTTCAATTAAGCTAGGAGAAGAGTGGAAATTTGCATTTGACCAAAATCCATTTATCCAAAATAGAAATTTAGTACCACCATATTTTAAAACCTCAGATCCCCCACAACCATACAAGCCCACAACCCCCCCAAAACCACACAACCCGCCCTAAACTATGAAATGAAATAAAAAATAAGATGTCTTAAATTTTTTAAGGTTTTCAAATTCAGACTACACAAAAATGCACAAAAATCACACTTTCGAAATCTAGTTTTGAAGCCCACAAGTAAGATGACTACTCGCTCCTCTAAATAAAAACCAGAACACAAACTATTCAAACAAAAATGATGATTCAATAGTCATCTAATAGAAAAAATACATAAAATCTTATATACATGAAAAACATATCTTCAATTGAAAATCATGAAGTAGTTGAAACCACATTATACTAAAATTTAGTTCAATTCAATCGCACAATCAAATCAAGTATTTGAAATGAGACAATAAGAGTAAGAAAGAGAACAAAATAGTCTAATAAAATAATCAGGTATCGCATCGCTACAATGATGTAAGTTACCCTGAAAACTTCAATCTTCAATTAAGCTAGGTGGAAATTTGCATTTGACCAAAATCCATTTAATCAAAATAAAAATCATTCAAAAGAATATATTTTAAAACCTCCCACACACCCGCCCCCTCCCAGTTTTTAGAAGATAGGGAGAATTGTCTGAGATTTTACTCAATTATTAAAAAAAAAGTATACAAGTACATAAATATAGGTTAAAAAAATTTAATAACGTTAAAATATAATTAAGGAGAGAATCCTCCATAGGGACATAATCATATAATTAATAATGCAAATTCCTATAATAAATTATTAGCAATATGTTAATTTAGTTATGGTAGCACTCCCCAACAAACTCAAGGTGGCATAGATGACAAATTAAGTTTGAAAATAAGAAAGACAAATGTAGCTGAAGATTATATAGCCATCTTTGTAACTTACATTTCTTCAAATGGAGAATCTATATCTTAATGAAAACATGCAGTGGATCCTTCCTCACCAGTAAGTCCACAAGATCATCGTTCCGTCATTCTCTTTGTTTATAGTTCAAGCAGTAGCGAACTCCTTCAAACTCCCTTCAAATCCAGCTGACTTCGCATATACCTTTTCTCTTGCTTTCCACAACCTATCCCTACTAAATCCAATCCTAAAACAGCTATGAACACTAGAACAATGTCACTAATGTTTTTTCCTTTCTAAAGACGAACACCTCAAATTAATATTTACTTAAAAAATGCAATTGAAGTTAACTATAAGAGAATTTAAATTAAGACTGTTAAAAATATATAGAATTTAAGTTTTTTTCTTTTACTTAATTTTTATTATTCTAAAACAATTTTTCTAATTTAATTGTTTCATTTTCATTTTTTTTAAATATATTTTAGCTTATTTTTATTTTTTGTAAGCTTTATATTCATTTTTCTTTAACTAAATTTTTATTTTATTTTTATCTACTTTTTTATCTTTTTGACATATTTTTCTTCTGTTTTAATTTAGTTTTTTTTCCTTTCTATGGTTTAGGATTTTAATTTACTTTTTATATATGTGTTGTTAATTTTCATTTTATGAGCCTCTTTATTTTTAATTTGATGCTTACATCTCCATCTATCTTGAGGCTTACACGTCACCAAACTAAGCTTCAATTCCCGATTTTTAAACATTTCCAAAAAGCACAACCTTCGATACAAAAAAGAAGGATCTTATAAAGAAAGGATTCCAAAGAAAAAAAATGGGTCATATTTAGAGTAAAGTGTGAGAGCAGGCTATTAGAGATCAAAATTTAGATGGGTGCACCATAACAAGATGTTTAGATAAGATCAAGAGGATTCTAGGCATCTCAATGATAGCATGTTAGAAGAAAGAGATAATTGAAATGTACTACACCCTTGCTCAATTGTCTTCATAGCAAAAGTATACATGTGTTTGTAGGTACCGATTAGTCAAATGATAAGGTCTTAAAAGTTATTGTGAATTTGGGTTCAATCTTCACCTACGTCATAATTACACCCAACTTGTAAATTTTGGGGTGGTAAAAAAGAACAATAAAAGATGATAACAAAGGAAAATATTCTAATTAAAGTGAAAATAATATAATAAGAAATAGTATATATTCATACTAATTAGTTAGGGTATATGTTAATTTAAAATATAATAAATATTTGCAAAACCTCCCTAATTTACAAGTGAAATAAATAAAGGGATTATTCAACAACCATGTTCAAATCGATTGAACACAAGGATCGTGTAACAATAACAGTTATACAACCATGAACATTGCAAGTACACCAACAATGCCCTGAAATCATAAAGATATTAGAAGGCTCCAAACCAAAGAAAAGGAAATCCTATAGCTAAAGATAATACAAGAAAATCTTAATTGAAATTTGTAGTTAAGCATAAAAAGAGAGATGAGCATGGAGTGGCATTACCCTTTACAAAAAAAACATCAAATATTCATTGTTTACTTGTACATGAAACGGATAACACTATTAAGTATGTTGTTAGCTGAGTTAGTTCCATAATTACTTAATTGTTATACTAAGAATGGTAAATCATTATGTTAATAAGCTTTATATAATATAGATGTTTCATGTTGGTGCAGTTAGCTACCCATTACTTGATATGTATGGTTTTTGCAAGTCCCATGCCTTATTTTAGGCCTTAAAATGTTCAAGATATCTATTGACTCTGCCCTGCAGGCCATTGGTAGCCGCTAATGTCAATTCATCTCACTAGATTAGTGGACACCTACATAAGAGTAAAGCCATCAATAGTTGACGCTGCTTTGTAACGAGTATTAATAAGCATTTTTAGCAGCAATTTATTCAAATTTTGGACTTGGGAACTCATTTCCCATACATTGAATATTATATGTAATCATTTCACCTTCATGAATGAAATTGCATTTTTCATTTTGCTTACAATTAAAGTTATGCCAATTCATGATATCAATTCCTATCTTGTAATATTAAAAAAAATTACATTATTTAATCTTAACTTCTACATTATGCCATGTGTGTGAAGCCGTGAAGGTTAAGTTCCATTATCATGTTTGCCTATCCGAGTGTACCAACTTAACCTACAATTTTGGTTTATGCCATGTGTGTAGAGGTTAAAGTCCAACATGTCCGCATTTTCAGGGTGCATGCCTCAAAGACCCATTCTACAACTAGGCCTTTAGCCAAGACAAGCACCTTATAATAAAACAAATCACACCATAACATAGACAGTGAGACGGCATTGAAATGTGTTTCATTTTTATCAAATAAAAATGTAGAAAACAAAGAAAGCACAATTGTAAGTTCAGGAATAAGCATGTGCATTTATGTATTGTGAAAGCATAAATTTATGTAGCATAGATTGAACATGTTCGTGAAAAAAAATCCAATGAAAAGATTTAAAAAAAAAGTGATCTTAAAATAAAATAATAACTGGTTAAATGATGATAAGTACCGGTTAAATCCTCCATATTTGCAGGCTTCACATCAACAATATTAAAACTTTGGTTACTAATTTCAAGATTCCAAAGATTTATGCGCAAATCATCCGCTGAAATGAATGTCTCACCGTCACTAGAAGCATGGAAACAAAGCAATAATGAGAATGTGATGGTATAAGAATCACAGCCGGGTAAAAAATGGATAAAGCATGTCTAAAGCATAATAAAGCGGGAAAATACATAAAAGGCTATGCATTACCAAAAACATGCAGGGAAAACTTTTTATTATGTGCACAATGAAAGTTTTAAGCATTTCATGGGTATTAAAAGCAGGGGACAATTCATCGTGGCATCATAAATCAATTATTACATGTAGTCAGAAACAAGCACCAACTAATACCCAGGTCATAATGTTACAAACTGAATGCAGCTAAATATAATAAAATCAACTGCATACAAACAACGCCAATACAAGCAATGCAATAAGAAAAATGCTGAAATTGGAGAAAAAGAGCAATTGACTCCATACTAATCAGCAAATCAGATTATCATCCAGAAACACAAAAATTTTAAAGAATAAGAAAGGAAAACAGATGAAAAGAATCAATGAAAAGCTGCACCCAGAAAAAATTTCAATTTGAAATGAGGAAAAAAAAATTTAGTTTGGAATGGATTATTTATTATTACCAAAGTCAGTTAAATAATTTGATAAGCTATAGATCAGACATTATTCAACTCAATAAAATGTTCTTTTGCTGCTTTAGTGATACATAAAAATCCATTCTTCTTAAAATTATCAATAACAGTAAAATTACTAGTGTATATCCGCTCTGAATGTCAGATCAATGGTAAGCTGTAACAGCCTTCAAACCCATGCTTCTCATTTATTTAAAATGATGGCTGTGCAAGTCAATGCCAAAAACTAGAAATTAAGTGACGTCAAGGGCTCTAAGATCAATAAGGACGTGAAAATTGAAAAGGAAACTTATGATGAAACATTCAAATGCCGTGTCCCTATAAGTTGGTTAAACAGTTCCTATCTATGAAAAAAAATTGAGGACTGATGAATAAAATAAGTTCTCTTATAAATCCTACCAGGAAATGTGCAGATAGAAGTCAGTTTTACCTAAAAAAGCCCCAGCAAAGATCATATGCTTAATTATTTGCAATCCTACTAGCAAGTCTCAAATAGGTTCAAACTCGATATAAAATAGGCTACTCAGCATTACAACTTAAACCTTTCAAGGTTGCCCAAAGATTGTTTAAATTATGAATCAGTTAAAACCATGTTTTCCCATAGCAGGGAGCCATTTTTACCGCAAAACTTGTAATTCTCCATCATGATGAATGGAATACTTTCAAATGTAATTTACTTGGGAATTGGACTATGGTGGGGATTCTTTCGTTGAGGGGACAATGATGTTACTTGCCTGCAAGCGTTCATGAGTGCACAAAAACTGTTTACCCAAAAATCAGAGTGAATTAATTTTGTTTAATTAGCCAGGCAACTTATTGAGTCAATTTGAACCCTATTAATCAGAAGGAGGTTTAATCCCTATTTAAGCCAACCAAGTTGAGCTAATTAAGCATTAAGCACAAAAGACAGTTAGGTATGATTTGACAAGGATGACAAATTTTCTGGATTTTCTAAAGATAATTATAGAAGATATAAAAGGAAGAAACTGCGAGTTCACAAACCTAAAGGGTTCAATTGGACCCAAATTAAATGAGTTAACTTGTTGAATCCGTTATTATAGCAGCTACTGGCATTTAGTTTAGTTAAATTTATGTTTCAATATATTAATCAAGCAACGCAAATATTGATTGAAAATACCTTGTTTTGAATCACACATCGTTCACCATCTCCAAAGTTCATACATGATGGGACATGAAAGCTAAATAAAACTAATTAAACGATGAGTAATGAAAACAAAAGAGAGATTTGATACGCTTCTCTGGTTTTCCTATTTTCATGTTGCTTGTAAGCTACACAAAACAAGAAATATAACATATTTTCTGAGATTTAGATCCAATTTAGCACGCCTGCAAATAATCCCCGCCATAAGAATGAATCTCATATGCAAGCCCTCAATAAATATTGAAACCTGCAAAGAAACCAGCCACATCATTCATAACGATAGCACAAAGAATATTTTAATCTATGTTGAATCACATGACGATCAGCACTCTGGGTATCTCCAAATCGAGCCTCTTTCTCATGCTAATCACCCACTCCCAATCCCTTTAGCTCATGCTTCCCCTTCACCTGCTTCCATCTCATGACCCGACTCACCATAACTTTCCCTTACATAGACCCAATCCCCCAGCTACACTTTCGATCTCTCCCTTGCAAACTCCAACAATCCTATGTTTTTGTTATACCCTCGATTTGACATCCCACCCAGCCATCTCCTCAACCCCACTCTCCAAATTGCTTCCTAAGTGTAACACAAGAAATACTTTAGAACCATGATGATGAACACGCTAGCTATCTACCGCTAAGGCTTCTCGTTTATTTCTCTTTCCAAATTCCTTTTAACTCTCACCTGATCCGATCCTCCCTATCAAGCTCCAACTTTCGGCCCCAAACTCTCTCCCTCTCTCTCTCTCTCTCTCAACTCTAACACAATCCCTCTCCCACGCTTTTGACTACTCTTGTGCTAATCCTAACCAAACTATACCTTCACCCACACCTTAGACACCCCACTCAACCCTCTCCTCGAACTTCCCACTTGCTCTATATATTGAAATGCCCAACTGAACCACCACGTAACTTTGCTCCAATGTTGGGTCCATCTCACATTCAAGTTCTTCTTCTCATGAATCTCCCTTTGTAGCACTCCACTACTCACCTCCGCATATGCTGTCTCTCTAGCTCGAACTCTAACCTGCCCCCAACCATCAATCATACATGTTGCTAGTTGCCTCGTATAATTTTCTCTCTCATACCCTTCCTATTGCTTCATCTCCAACCGTAAGTACATCCTCACGATCTCTAAATCCATCTCACTCAAAAGAGATGCAACAAACTTGCAAAAAGCATGTCTCTTTTTCCTCCATATCAATATTAGAAACCACGCCTCAACTCAATATTGACAACTATCTAGGTTACCCTCGTATCATTTCTCATGGTGCAAATTATGTCATACTCCACTATCACATCAATTAGATCAAGCCTTCATAACACAAGAAAATCCTCTAAACTAAGAGAGTTGTCATTATGCAAAGTCAACTTTCTAACCTTTTTTTTTAACATTTCACAACCAACAAACATCACGCATTGATATCAGTGCTAATCCAAACACTTGATAAATGCTATGCATGAAACTATAAAAATAGTCCTCAATTTCAACCATAATAAAATTAAAACAAAAAATCTAAGTCCTATTACATCAAATGAAAATTAAGGGCTGTTAAAGAGCCATAATTGGTAACCACCTACTATAACACTTTATAATCTATCCAAATAAGTATATATACATATATACAGACTCACACACACAAATAAACTTCTACTTATCATAGTATATCATACGATGTGCAATCCAATAATGTGGATATTCAATTATATAATGCTATATTTTCTTTTTTCTCCAGACATGTAATAAAAGAAGCATTTAATTAAGCCAAATAAAGCTTGCCACCATTAAAAAAATTGAGATAGAGAATAGGACTAGTTTATAGCATTACACTTCCATGGATACGCACAATCAACTGCATATAAATAACAGAACAAATAAAAAAATAATTGTTGAATTAAAAATGATGTACGATGTTTACTGACGACTACAAAAAAGGTAGATGATAATGGAAGTACAAATATATGCATTTGAAATGTAATACATCTAGAATGTGTCTATGTCCAAGCATTACACGTTCCTGACATGTATGTACTTCCGTGCATGAACATACATGCTATTGGGCAGCCTTCCACAAATTGCGGCTAATTTTTTTGTCAACATTATTACAGCACTACCCATGAATCCCTTCAAGATGACCACCATTATTTATGCTAAGACACAATTTATAACTTATACAATGTTGATTTCGTTGATTAGGTAGATTTGCCAATCAGTCATGTTAGAACTTACTCTCTAGTTGATCCAAAGAATCAGGGTAAATCATTGCCTTAATATGCTTTAAATAAAAATTACATTGAAAACAAAAATCAAACATTTTTAATTAATCAAATGCTTTCCTTATAGGGTGAGAAAATAGGACACACCAATTAGCTTGTCTTGCCAACTAGACAAGATTACAAAAACTGCCAATTGGGCAACCTTGCTTATAGGGTGATGTTGCAAGACCAATTGAGCCACCTTTTTCAGAGCATAAAAATATAAGACCCATTCTTACAAATTATTCTCATCCAAAACAATTATTCTCATATGAAACATCCCTTAAACCTAATAAGATTTTAGTCTCAACCATTAGAGCTTTCTAATGAGTGGAGATCCAAGTCATAATATCTCTATCAAAGTTTAAGAAGATAGGTCAATTCAAGCTTTTCTTATTAGGCCATCGAATGAATGTCACCCAACACTATCAACAAAAGTAAACATAAAATCAACGATGCTGCTCAAAGAAATTTAATTACCTACGCCAATTTTTCCATCCATTAGGGTCTATAAACCCATTCATGAAGTCTCCTCATTCTTGAAGTTTCAAGTTTTACTTTAAGACTCATAAAAATTAATATGGATCAAAGCAAGGGTAACAAACCCATTAAATTAAAGCTTGGGCCTTCCAATGGATGTAAATCACATCCTAAACTAAACTAAGTCAATTTCTTACTACTAAGAATACAAATCAAATATTACATATATTGTAGAAATGTTTATTCAAATCAAACAAACTGAAACAAATGGACAATAAATAGTCATGCCATACCTTCGAGACCTTACAGACGTTCAACAGCTTTGAACAGCAACTGTTCAAGCTTTGTGTCTCAGAAATATTCAATAATATCCATCCCTCTACCATTGAATGCCTTAAACAACAATCTTAGAGCACATCATTGACATACAACCGTATGGTTTGCTTGGGATAATTCAGACGGAAATCTATATTTACCAATCAAATTCACTGGATATTGTAGTTTAGAACACTGACATTGGTAAATTGGGTCCATCATAAAACAACGATGAGAATAGGACATATAATTCCCCCAACCATTTTTCATCAAATGCAAATCTAACTAACAAATCAAAGCCTAATTTAAGCCAATGCAACATCCTTAATCAAGAGTACTCTCACGTGAGAGCTTGCACCAATGAAAAGTCTCAAGCCAACAACAACAAAAACAAAACCTTAACCCCACTACGTGGGGTCGGCTACATGAATCCATTTTCTCCATTGCGTCCTATTCAGTGTCATATTTTCATTTAGTTCTAATAAATGAAGATCATTTTTTATACATTAAGCCCAAGTCTTCCTAGGTCAATCTCTGTCTTTTTTAACATAAGTCAAATCTAAAACATTTACTATCCTAATCGGATCATCAGATGGTCGACGCTCCATCATGGATATATTCATTTCGCATTTTGTCTATAAGTGTAAAGTCACTATTCCACCAAATAATTCTCATTTCGGCAACACTTAACTTAGTATTATGCTTCTATTTTAAAGGTCAACATTCAGCGCCATAAAGCAATGCACGTCTCACCACCGTCATATAAAATTTTCCTTTCAGTTTAAGCGGTACTATTCTATCACACAAAAGGCCCGAAGCATTCCTCCACTTCAACTAACCAACTTGAATTCTACTATTAAAATCCCCATTTATATCACCACCGCTTTGAACAATAGACCCGAGATATCTAAATCGTTCAAACTTTTAATAATTTGATCACCCAAAGTTATACTTCCGTCACTAGAGCTACTACTACTAAAATTACATTCCATGTATTCAGTTTTAGTTCTACTCAAATGGAGGCCTTTAGACTCTAATATAGACCTCCATAATTCAAGTTTTTTCTGGGCTTTTTCATTCGTCTTGTCCATGAGAAGGATATCGTCAGCAAAAAGCATACACCAAGGTACATCCTCCTATAAATGTCCAGTAAGACCATCCAAAACTAAAGCAAAAAGATATGGGCTTAAAGCCGATCCCTGATGTAATCCAACAGATATAGGAAAATATTTAGTCAATCCTTCGGTTCGAACACAAGTAACAGCTCTAGTATGCATATCTTCAATGACTTGAATATAAATCATATCAACACTTTTCTTCTCAAGAACTCTTGAAAGGATCTCTTAGAACCTTATCGTAAGCTTTTTCTAAATCAATAAAAATCAAATATAGATTCTCCTTATTATCACTTAACTTCTCCATCAAACTTCTCAATAAATGTACAGCTTCAAAAATAGACCTGCCAGGCATAAATCCAAATTGATTATGAGAAAACTTTGTAATACATCTTAACTTGTGTTCAATTACCCTCTCCCATAATTTTTAATATAATTTTAAAGTATGACACATTAACTTAATTCCTCTATAATTTACACACTCTTATGCATCCCCTTTATTCTTAAAAACAGGGATAAAAATATTTTTCCTCCACTCCTCAGGAATCCTTTTAGTTTTTAAAATAACATTAAAGAGTATAGTAAACCAAGAGACTTCCAACTCTTCTAAACATTTTCATACTTCAATTGGGATGTCATTAGGTGCTACACTTTCCACCCTAGGTTTTCTTTAAAGCCTTCTCAACATTTTTACTAATGCGACGGTAAAAATGACATGTTTTATTATTATTATTAACGATATTAAGATCACTAAGTTCAATCGTATTTTCAGAAACTTCATTAAAAAGTTTATCAAAATAATTCACCTACTTATGTTGAATATCTTTTTCTAAGAAAATCACTTTTTGATTTTCTTCTTTAAACATGAGTTAAATCCTTACTTTTCTTCTCTTTGTTTGGCTAGTTTATACATATATTTTTTATTCTTCTTAATATCTAATCTATTATAAAGATCATTAAAAGCAGAATTTTCAGAGTCACATATTGTTCTTTTAGACTCCCTACAGGCTGTTTGATATTTTTCCCAGTTCTCTAAGCTTTTACATTTAAACCAATTTCTAAAACAAAAGTTCTTATATTTTATCTTTTTTTGCACATTATTATTCTACCACCAATTATTTCTATTTAAAGAAACTTTTTCTTTTGATTCCCCAAAATACATCTATTTATACTTGTTTAATAGTGTTTGTTACTTTATCCCACATAACATTTGCTTCATCATCAACATCGCAAATTTTAAAATTTTAAATTTTACTCAAAAAAATAATTTTATTTGTCTTTTTGATTTCCTATATAATTCTACGATGATGAGTCCTAATATTCTTTATTTTACAACTCTTCATCTTAAAATTTAGAGCTAATAAACAATGTTGGGTACTTAACTATTAAATCTTCACTTGTAATGACTTTACAATCATTACATTCTCGACGATCTCTTCTTCTCATAAGAAAATAATCAATTTGTGTTTTATTAGATTCATTCTTATAAATAATAAGATGCTCATATTTTTTCTTGAATAAAATATTAGTAATAAAAATCACACGCTAATACCTTCTTCATTAGTCACTCCAAAGACGTAGCCACCATGAATATTTCTAAAATCTTCTACCACTCTACCGACATGTCCATTTAAATCTCCTCCAATAAAAATTCTTTCTTTAAGAGGTATCATTTGTATTAAGTCTTTTATGTCATTCTAGAATTTATCTTTAGACTCTATATCTAAATCTACTTGAGGAGCATAAACACTTATAATATTAAAAATCTTAGTATCAATCATAATCTTAAGGGTTATAATTCTATCTCCAACTCTATTAATTTTTACAAATTTATCTTTTAAACTCGTCTATAATTACATCTACACCATTTTTAGTGTGACTCTTACCAGAATTCCAAAGTTTAAAACCTAAGTAATCAATCTCCTTAGCCTTTTCTCCAACACATTTAGTTTCTTAAATACATAAAATATTAATCTTTTTATGAATCATAATATTAACTAATTCGATTAACTTACCATTGAGAGTACCTATATTCCACGATCCTATCCAAATATTAATTTCATTAGTTTTATGGACTAACTTCTTTACTCGCATCCATCCGTAATGTGGATGGAAACCCTCGCTTATTTGACATTATACCCGGGCGCCGGTGTAGCGGCCCTTGCACATTTTTCACTGTATTCAGGCTATACAGCACATCACTTCCAGGGGACGCCCTAGCAATTACACAAAGATCAAAAGGATTCAAAATAAACGATGATCTAGCATTAGGAGGAGTATAATTAAAACAAACCTAATTTGCATCAAAAAAGATTACTCACAAGTCCTCTTTTACATGTAAGCGATAGCCTTTTCCTAAACAAACAACTTAAACTTCATCATGTATAAGAGTCTAACGATGCTTGATTTTCATAGTAAAAATGCACATTATTCCATCAGCATCTCTATGATTGCACCTCTATGCATCTCCTTCCACCTTCACGAAAATGGCACTTCATACTTCAAGCCTTCTATACTCATAGGCATGTCCAAACTTTTACTCAGTTTTCCACCATCTGTTACCATGCAAGAGATGAGTCTGAAGGCAATATAAAAGAAATGACATTCGTTCCTTATCACAAATACTAATGGATTCCAATTCGTTTCAATTATCAAAAAAAAAAAAAAGATTGTCTAAAAGCCTAGACGGACAAAATTTAGTGACAATCAAGTATAGTAGTTGGAAATGGTAAACGGAACCTGTTATTTGAAATAGAGTTAATGTGATAATCATGTGCGTGAGCATATACTCTTCGGCATCTGGCCAGCAGGCTTGTTTCTTGAGCAGCAACCTAAACGAAAGCATACAAAATAAATGTCAGTCTCTAAGATTGATGATGTTAACAAAAATAATTTTAAGAAAATTTATGTTCTAGTAAATATAAAATAGTTGACATACAAAAAAATTAACCAGAAACTTAAAAGCTTCCTGTCTACTACATGCAAACATTTTAGTTGCCCGACTATTCATTTGCAGAACCACATGTGACAATCATACTTGTTATTTCATGTAAGCAAATCCTTACAAACTAATCTAATTATTTATTTAATAGAACTTCAGGCTTGCAATTATAGACTACTTGTTCACTCAAAGCACATTTGGTAGGACTTTGTGATATTTTAACGAAGGTGACGAGTTTAACTCAGGTCAAAATCTATGAAATAAGAAGTTTCAGATGAATTGTAGATGTGTAACAAAATCAGCTAGACACTTATGGAAACTTCTGCAATTATATATAGTTTATCAGGTAACCCAATAAGTTTGTCCAGACCCACCCCCTTACGGGTGTTAATGATAAGTTTGTGATACAAAATGTGACTGCCACATTAACTAAAGAGCTGCCATAGATATTTAAATAAAATGCATTTATTCAATAAGGGCTGAGTACGACTACCACAGGAAGACGCAAAGTTGGACACCCTCCAAAGGGAAAGTTGATGCCAAGGCTAACACCCTTATATGGAACTTCAGAACAAACACCATTTGGGAGGTACACCTTTGGACTAGCTGTATTTGAGCTAGAAATGTTACCATTTCCAGCAGCTTGTGAAGGATTCACATTCATCTCAAAAATTTTCTTGACTTTCTTCTCTTGCACCTACATGGCAAAAGGACATTATATCTATAAATACCAGAGATAAAATGAATCTAAAGTGCAAGGGAATCAGCTTTCAACAAGCAAAAAAAGCTAAAAAGTGACCCATAACTGTTTAAGCTAAAATGCCAAAAGAATATGTTTCCATCCTAATATAAAAGAGAGTAAAGCCCACTTGAATTGCATGTAACCTAAAACAAAAATACAGCTCAATATTAAAAATTGGATGTTGGAGATAACATAGGGGGGAGGATTTATTGATGTTAAGTGAGATTTGAACAAAGATCCAAGGCGACAATTCTCAAAGATCTTTACCAACTGAACCAGTTAGCACCAACATCAACACTCCCAAAATATGAATCATGATGTAATGCAGAATTTTCGAGGTTCCCCTGGTCTAGATCCTGCGGCTCTTCCAGGCTGTAATTCTTTTGTCATTATATTTTTGTCCCTCCATACCGTTCTTGCAACTCCTCTATTTGCAGCTGGGGCAACTTTCTTTCCTTCGATTTGCAGCTGCATGTTTGAGAAAGTTTAATTTCAAAAATGGCTGCAAGTCCTTTGGTCATGTCCTGTAGAAATTCCATGGATGGGTTTTTTTTTTCCTGGTTCTTTTGATAATACCGGTGATTATAAATACAGAGCTATGACAAATGTGAACAGGACAACCCGTTATTACTAAAAAAAAATTGCTTTGAGAGTGCAAATTCATTCCCTTTGAGAGTAAATTCTGTATTCAAGTGTGATTTAAAATACCTAAAGAGGCTATCTCATGTAAAAGAACTTGGCTTAACATTTTTATTAGACCTTTTTTTAATTTACATCGAAGTCAATAAAATAATGTTTTAAGAGTAATAGCTGTTTCCCTCAACACTTAAAAATTTGTTTTCACATCAATCTATCTTGTTTGATAGATCTGCATTAGATTCTAAATAACCTCTTCAATTTTGGTAACAAAAATTAAGATTATGGTATACTATCAACTAGAAGTAGGACACAATATTAGGTTAACTAACAAATTAACATTAAAGAAGCAATTTGAATAAAATCAGTTTAATTATGGTAATTGATAATTTCAACAGAACCATGGAGTCTGAATAATATTCCTTTATTTGATAGAAAAGATAATTCTAAGAGGCTTTCAAATTAGCTGGATATAATAAAGGAATTTCTTGAAATGTATATTATGCATGATTTTCAAAGGATTTAAATTGTTAAAACAAAGTTTGATGAATTTACCAAAACAGTGATGCAGGTAAATTGAAACCAACTTTGGTTAATATGAAACATAACATTAAAGAAAAGTATTTGGAATTCATCTATCATAGCGATAGAATGCATAACCTATTCTGGAACATTAAATTAATTAAGTTACAATTCTTCAAATATAACCGATGCAGCTAAGTTATACAAAAGGGTTTAAGAGATTGAAAATTATCCATCCTCCAATTAGGAATAATTAGATCTACTTAAAATTTTAAAGAAAAAATCTACTCTGCCTAGCCTAAAATTTTCAAACATAAATCTGCATGAATAATATATATGGTCAAATGATGTAAAATGGATACAATTAAGAAAACCATAATTCATTAATATTCTTAAAAACAGAATTAGAGGAATAAAAAAATTTACAACTGCATAATAATTCTAACTAAGATATTGTACATCAAGCTAAACTAGAAGTTCCATTTGATAAGAATTTGTATGGTTGCATAATGATGTAAGGAAATGCACTAAAACCGTCAATATAATCTACACTAGAACCTTCATACACCTAAACTAAAAAATGAACAAGAGTCAAAAACCAAATCATAAACTAAATTGGACTATAAGATTGAAAGATTGAATTTGAATCTAACCAATCTAACCAAAAAAAAAAAAAGAGTAAATATCCATGCCTAACATTGAAACTGAACGAATCATAGATGTTGAAATTAAAATAATTTTGCGAACTGATAATATAACACCTAATGAATAATATATTGAAAGTATCCTTATGCTGATACATCAAATAGATATTGATTGATTTTTATTCTTAAATTGTTGACTTAGAATTTCATAAAAAGAACCTTATCCTTGGTTAAAATTGTGCAATACAAGGTGAGTCTTGAGGCGCACCTTAAATGCTTTTTAAAAAAAATCCTAATGAAGCTTATGGCTCATTGTCCAAGGGTGCATGCCTCGCCACAGAAAAAGACTTAAATGTATAAGGCAATCTGGAACTTTTTTTAACAAAACTAAAATTAATATCAATATTCCTCACCTATTAACATACCTCACACACTAAATAATAAGAAATAAAAAGAAAATGCTTTCATATAAATTAATATAGTAATTCTATCCAGCAACATAATTATTCTTTTTATTAATATTTTTATGGATGTTTACTCAATAAAGAATATAAGATAAATGAAATTAAAGATAATAGAATGGGAGAATATACATATGACTAAAGAAAAGATGCGATATAAATAATATATTATTTGGATAACTATAATGAAAATCAATTGGGTGATAAAAACCGTAAGGACTATAAAATTTAGATATTGATAATTTGATATATTCTTATTTAATTGGAGGCCGTATGAGTGGGAGAGAAAGACTTATGTTAAAAATTTTTCAATTGTTATGTTTTGAGGTTTTAGCATTTTTTTTTTTTTTATAGATCGACTATTTTTTATTGTTTAATGTTCGTATAAATCATTTATTTCATAATTTGATGTTAGGATAATAACATGTTGCTTCTAATTTCAGGTATTTTACTATTTTTTACTTAGGATGTCATTAATTTATTGTTTAATGTCCTACAAAGCTACGACAACAACAACAACAACAACATAGCCTTAATCCCACTACATAGGGTCGGCTACATGAATCATTTTCTCCATTGCATACTATTTAGTGTCATGTATAACTAAATGTGCTAATATATTATTTGGTACTTCACACCTTATAGTTTATACATTTTTTATTAATTTAAGCATATTTTTAAGTTTGAGGCTTACGTCTTAAAACGTCTCGAGGCTTATGCTTCGCCTCATAAATAAAAAATATCATAGCACCTAATTGTGCAATTTTAAACTTTGAACCTTATTCAACATGTTAAATAGAACTAACACCCCCATGAATTTATTCATGTTGGCTATCTTGAATTAAAAATGATCTTTAATACTCCATATTCCTGGTTGAATCAAAATTTTATTCACTGCATTTTTCTTTGAAACATTATGGCTTGTTTTCTTTAAAGAGGTTGTCAACAACAATTTTCATATATATACTTGCTAAAATAAAATTTTATTGATAGGAAGAAGATACAAAGATTTTAGTGAGCGGGTGCTAAGAACCTACTCACAAGACATACAAGACTCAAAAGGTAACCAAAAAGTACAAGTTTACCCAAAAAAAAAAAATGCTAGACAAATTCCCAAAAAGATAAAAACAGTCTGCAGGCTTCTCGGAAGAATGCTTCAAGTTTGGGACAGAAATCCACGAGAGAGCTTAATCATGATGAGTGGACTTTCCTCTCTCCCTAGTTCTAGTTCTAGAAAGGGAGTCGAGCACCAAACTGTGAAGAGGGCTTCCACCCGAAACTAGCAAAACATCCTCCTATAAATTCCTGAGTTCATTTTGTTCCTTTTTTTCTTCTTTCTGGTTTTGCAAACTTGTCAATCATCTTCCGAGGGTTGTCCCAACTTACCACTGAGTTGTTCATCAAAAGGATCAGCTTCTACCTGTTGCAAAACTTGAACTTGGCACTCCGACAAGGTATGAGGACCCTCAACATCAGCAATAATTGTTTTTATAGCATATGGAGCATTATCTGGCACCAAAATGAGAGTATCCTCGTTTTCAGTAACATGGGGGGCTGAGGTAGTGAGGGGTGCTCCTCTGGGGCAAATTTAGTGGCAATATCCTCTCTAGTTGCAGTTTCCACCATTTCAGCAGGTACAATAGGTGTTTCTTGAGTAGTTAGGTGAGGCACTTGAAGTTGGGATCTCAAATTAAGATGGAGAATAAAATATTTTTCAAGTGTGTGTCCAAACATCTTACAATGGGTGCAATAGTACGGTCTTTATTCTATGACAATCTGTTGTCAATACCCATTATGTGCAGTGTCAAGTCAATTTTTTCAATGTCAGATAAAGTGATATCTCTCTCCACAATGATTCTGACAACAGAAGGCCTGGTGAATTTAAATGTGGGTACATCTAATTTCATTGGTCTCTCAAGCATGACCACAATAGAATAAAGAACCTGATGGTTGAAAAGATGCAACTTAAGCCTAGGTAACTTAAACCATATTGGTATTGTAGGTGGTTCTTGGTTAGTATCAAATTCAGGAGACAGCTTAAGCAACTTCCTAGTTTTCCTAAAATGGTGAGGAATTTCCTGAAAAAATCCTATCATAGTCTTGTTTATAGTCAAATGTATCATCACATGTCTCCCATCAAAGAGACCCACCTTCCATTGTCCTACAAGTTTAAGATCCTCAAAAGCTTTGTGAATAACCTCCATTTTGGGATGTCCCAACGAAAATTTCCCAATGAGTGCAATATCACAAGAAACTTAGCATACCTGCAATAAAACATGAAAATACATTTCTTTAAAATGTAATATCACAAAATATAATCCTTAAATAAATATGCAAAATTAAAAATTTTTTTGAAGTATCAAAATCTCTCAAACTTAACTGTTACTTGTCTTGAAGTAACTCTTTTATAACATAAAAAATACAACTTAAGGTAGTGAGCATCACTTAAAAAACTTCTATAGTTTTTGTTTTATAAAGACAATAGTAAGACTTCAGAAATAATTTAAATAACTTAAGTTCAAACTAAAAATATAAGAATATCTAGCGTGAATTTGAATTTTTTTACCAGAGTAGAGACTTCGAGGTCTGCAAAAATAAGAGTGGTCTTACCACCCTTCCTACATGCCCTCTTAACAAAAGGACAGTAAGCTTTCCCTTCAAGATAATCATGACAGATCTGAGGAAACACCAC